GGGTCGAATGGGGTGCTTGTGTTCGGACGCCAGGCCGAGATTAGGAAGGACTCTGCAGGTGGTGCAGTCAGTTCAAGAGGGGGATCACCGCTGTCCTGGCTCGGCGGGATCAGGCCAAGATGCCAGTAGGGCTTGTTGCAGAGTGGGCTTTGCTCCATCTCCATCGTGCCCATGCACTCTTGGCCTTCTCTTACGAGCTCCAGACTTTGAAGGACCTTCTTGGCTTCTGACCGTAGGCCCGCCGCCCAAAGGCGACATACCAGCCCGCAAAGCGCGTCGGCATGGTACCGCGTTGTGCAACAATTCTTCGGAACCTCTCGGCGTCTTGGCTTTAGCTTGAGCGCTTTCTGTCTGGCCTTGGATTACATCAAGTCTCAGCGCTGACTGGCTTACAGGTGGAGTGGCCAAGGCCCACAGCCCTCTTCCAATTTCATATTCGTACTCCCTCCCATCTGCCGCAAGTGATGCTGATGAGAAATGCAGGAGAGCGCAGAAACGATATGCCAGAGTCACGTATCGACCTCCGCTACTCAAAGGCCTTGAGATCACAGCGCAACCCTCCGGAAACAGTTTCGAAATTCGGGCGATATTTTAGAGTATCCGGAGCCTCTCAAATCCAAGACGGCAACGCCTTGGTTTTGGCCTTGGCTCCATCTTGGCCGGGCAATTGTGACGATGATCAAGAGTAAGCCTTGGGTTTCGGGGGACTGAAACGGCTGCCGGCCTCCGGTACCCGGGCGGACAACAGATGAACGTCGACGAGTGGGCCGTGTTGTCAACTGGCGATTATCCGTGCTATCAATTGGGAGAGCAGCGACCTATCTTCTCTTGGCGTTTGTATGCCAAACGACGATCTCTATTGCGACCATTGATCTCCTGTTTGCCAAGCATCCTCACCAGCGTTCTATCAAGCGACTTATGGATAGTCGCCCGTCAATGCTGTAGGCAAAGCAGCCACCTAGATCCGGGTCAAGATGCCCGTGATCAACCAGAAGCGGAGTCTTGGTGAGCAGATGCAACCTAGCTCCGACAACAGCTGCCGCTGTTCGACGGCGATGGTGAGAATTTCCGGCGAGAGGTCGGTCCTGGCACACGACGTTTCCTCCGGGCTACTCCAATACTGTAGGTTCTGGTTCAAGAAGCTTGCTACTGTCGTACTGGACCAGAATATCCATCTTGCGTGTGGCTAAAGGTGATCCCCACTTGCAGAAAATAGCTGCAACCCCTGGCCCCCTTTCTCCTTATCGTCCTTTTGTTTGTTTCCATTGCTGTTTCCAGCTATTTCTGTTTCTTGCCTTTCATTTATCAAATCGATCTATTCGACCCTCCGAAATGACCCGACCGCTCACACCCCATGAGACGCCAAGAATCCGGACTTGCTTCGATGCTTGACCAACATAACAAAGTCACCGACTGAAGGTGTCTCCGCTTCAGTCTGCGGACCAAATTTCCCTCATTCAGCAAAGTCGAAGCAAAGAGGTTCGGTGCACCATTAGCCTGGACATAGCAGCTAAGTGGGTGACAAGATAGGATGCCAGTTGACAAGATTGTGACGCTTACTTGCCTGCTTGCTGTGCCTCATATTCTTATCCTCATTATTCTTTTTATTGTTACTGTTATAACTTTTGTCCTTTGTATTTTCATATGAGAATACTCTTTGAAGAAAGAATAGGGATAGGAATAGTAGGAATAGAAATAACAGGAAAGGAGCTAGGGAGGGTATTGATAGAGCGGCAAGCGATTTTGTCACCCACTTGGCAGCGTAATGCAGGCCACTGTCGCCTTCACCCTCAGAATGCAGCATGATGCAGGCCTAGGTCATGGTTCCTTCTCAATGAGGCCTCCTGTCTCTTTTTTCCGCGACACAAGCAGTGTCCAGTGTGTCACGTCTCCAGAAGAAGAAATCTAGTGATTTACTCCTGAGCGGGGTGGGCAACTGAAGGATAGATCTGGGCTATCGAGTGGCAACTTCCCTCTGCATGGGCTCGACGCAAAAGTAAGAAGGGTGCTCCAGTTTGTGGTTCAGAAAGAGTCGATGAGATGCTGGAGCGTCCGTCGCTGTGGCTTTCGTGGTCTTGCAGGCTTCGCAGGCGATGAGATTCACGCGCCAGTCTCATTTGCGTTCAACATGTCTCTCTCGCTAGTATTGCTACTGCTATGTCCATTCCTGCCAGCTACAGGAGCTAGCTCGTGTGGAGGTCGTGAGAGTGCCTTCATTCTTGCTATACAATCGTCTGCGGAATCTTCTCTGGAGTGGTCAATGATCCCTCGTGGTTCCCTTACCTCGAACCATTTCTCCCTGCCCCTGCCCTCTTGGAGGAGGCCGGTCTCCTCGTAGACGCCCTTGACCACGATGATGCGATGATGCCTTCCCCTGTGCATCACGGCTACTCATCCGTGTCGTGTGATAGACATTGAATACAAACCAGAGAATCAACGGGATCCTTTGAAGATTTGGGCATGCCACACTCTAAGAGCTGCTTTACTTGACTACCGAGTTGCTTGAAGAATCCACGCTGAGCACGACGATCATCTCGCAGGACGCCTCAAACACGTCTGCGAATGCTGGATGCGAGTCATCTTACACTACAGTCCTTCTCTACGCCGTGCCCACGGTTCAATAGTTGCGAGACGGCCTACGTAAACACATTGACCTCTTGTCATGCTGTCTCTTCATCGTGTGTGGTAATGAATCCTGTCCAACAACGGAGACGAACAATCCTCGAACACTCTTAGCTCTGTAGTCTTGATAACCCCCTAACGACATCCGCACCTCAAAGATACAATCTACAAATCTTCACCCCATGACCAGCACGCTCCTAAAGCGCACCTTGTTCGACATCATACGCTCCACCGCATCAGGGGCTTCGCCCAAGGGAAACTTCTCAATCAGGCACCTGACGCCCTCCTTCTTCGAGAACTCAATCGCGTCCTCCGAATCCTGCGCGTGCCCGCTAGGCCACCCGTGAACCGAGCAGCCGCCCGCGATCAAATGCAACGAGTTGATTTCGATATTCCCGACCGGCGCGAGCACCAATAACTTGCCGCGCACCTGCAGCGCGCCCGTAAGGGAGCTAATCGCCCTTGCGCTCGGCGCCGTCGCGACCACGAGCGCGGCGCCGCCTAGGGCCTTGAGCTTCGCCACGGGGTCCTCGACGCTGCTGTCGATGAAGCGCTCGGCGCCCAGCTCAGACGCGAATTTCGCTTTCGCGGCGCCGGAGCTGATAGCCGCGACGCGGTAGCCCATTTTGCTGGCGTATTGCACGGCGAGGTGACCTAGGCCGCCGAGACCTTGGACGGCGACGAGGCTTCCCTGTGGGATCTCCATCTTGCGGATGCCGTTGAAGACGGTGACGCCGGCGCAGAGGAGGGGCGCCGTCTCGGCGGGGTCGAGGTCTGCTGGGACGCGGACGACGGCTTCGGCACGGAGGGTGACGTATTCTGCGTAGCCTCCGTCGCGGGTCACGCCGTTGATTGGACCGTTTTGGCAGGATTGGAATTGGCCTAGCTGGCATGTTGTGCAGGTTCCATCGTGGCCTGTGTGGACGTGAGTTAACTACACTTCAACATGATCTCCCTCCCCAAAGACCTCCCTCATCTCATGCTTGTTGGTGATCCAAAGGGAAGGTTTCCAGATATTACAAACTCACCTCCATGCCAAGCTCCTCCAACGCGCTCGCCACCCACGAACCTCGACACGCCCTCGCCGACGGCGACGATGTCGCCTACAATCTCGTGGCCCGGTACGCGAGGGTGGACGGGCCCGAATTCACCCTTTTGCATGCCGACGTCCGAGTGGCAGATGCCGCAGGCGAGCACCTTGACGAGGACCTCACCTTTGCCCGGCGCCGTTGACTCCAACGTCTGGAGTTGCAGAGGGGCGCCTGCCTCCTTGACCTGCCACGCCTGATATGTCTTTGGGAGGGACATTGCTGCTGTATTAGATGCAGAGAGAGGGGGTGAGTGAGTAAGTGGGACGTTGCGGTGTGATGATCTTGTATGGTGATTCTGTTCCCCTATGTACTACATCTTGGAGAAGGGACGCTTATATAGCGTTAGATTATGTAAATGTTGCGGAAAGTAATACTATGGCAACTGGCATACAACTTTCCTCGTGATGTCAATGTTCGATGGTTTGGAGGGGAGTGAGGTCTGGTAAAACTGGATCTTTGATTTGTGATCCGGTGATACTGACTAACGGAGGCCGCGCCGGAAACCCACTTCCCGGTATTTACGTCTAGTATCTCCGTTACCTCCCTCTCATTGACCGGCTTCTAGCAAGATTTTATCTCAAGCATTGATTCTCAAGTAGAGCTCTAGGTTTCTTCAGATCGTTGCCGGAGTTTGTGTCCTACCACGTTGGGGCATTATAGCAGGGATGGAGTTGTCGGAGTTATGTCCTACTATGTTGGGCATCGGAGCAGGGATAGGGGTGCTGCGTATGAAGTAAACCGTGAGGCCGCGCCCAGCGGAGAAGAGATGTCTTCTTGGCAAGTTTACAGCAGAATTAAGTGATGTACGAAAAGGCCGATGCCGAAAAAGGCCGTAACGGCTCCGGCTGGACTGGACGGGGTCGGGCTCGGCGCCGACTCGAACCACCATCATCCGGCTTTGAATTATCTGCCAACGAAAACCCTCATGTTCAAGTATGCTTAGAGATTTCCATGGCTGTCTCGCAAGCAGAACAGTAGGCTCGTCAAGGAGTGGAGATGCAGACGTGGCACATCTCATGCATCGACGTCAGAAAACGAAAGCCCGAAGGAACGTGAGGGAAGTCTCGCGAGGTTCTTGAATGGGGTTATTCGGCGAGATACTCGAAGAAACGAAGATTCGATTATGCTCTAGTGGTTACACTCTACTGCCGATTACGGCTCATTTCGGGAACCAAATTAACAACCAATATCCAGAACGCGTCAGAAAAGAAACCAGGATGCCGCTCTTGATCGCAAACATCACATCCCAATCATTCAATCACACCACCAACCCCCAAGACCTAGACCCTAGGCCTTCTTGACCTTTTCCTGTCCCCTTTGGAAAATCTTCTTCTTAATCACCGGATCGCTCAACCCCGCCGCCCCATTCATCGTCCCATCAAACACGTTTCTGGGCCCAAACGCATTCAGAAACCAAACAAGCCACGCATTCGTACCCTTCCATACATACGGGCTTCCACCGCTCTTAAGCACGAGCGGCACGACCTGCCGCGCAAACTCATCAGGCTTCATCGTCGTCTTCTCGTGCGTGGCGCTGCGCTCCCTTACTTTATCCTCGGCGTCCACGTACAGGCTGTCCCTGTCAAACGAAATGTTGTTGGCCTGGATGATGGACGTGGCCACCTCGCCCATGTAGACCGTCAGCACGCGCAGGCCGAGGGGCGCGACCTCGAGGCGGAGGGTGTCCGAGTAGGCCGCGACGGCGGCCTTTGTGGCGTTGTAGCCTGATGTGAAGGGCCCCGGGAGGCGGGCGAGGACGGACGCGACGTTGACGATTGTCGGTTGCTGGGAGGATTGGGAGGTGGAGACGGCGGCGAGAAGAAGCGGAGTGAAGGCTGTTACCATGTCGAAGAGGCCGAAGACGTTGGCGTCGAACATTTGGCGGGTGCGGTAGGAGTCTGCTTCTACTGCTGGTGCTTCGTAGACTTGATGTCGGAAATATCCATGTCAGTTGTCTTGATATGGTGGGAATGCCTAGAACGGAGGGAGAGAGAACTTACGAGCACCGGCATTGTTGTACAGAATGTCAAGGGTGCCGCCTGTACGTCTCACAATCTCTTCCTTCACAGTAGCGATGCTCTCCGAGCTCGTCACGTCGAGCGTGAGCGTTTCGATGCCTTTCTCTGTGAGGTTCGCCACCGACTTGAGCGAACGGGCGGTTGCGAAGACGCGCAGGCCCTGGGCTGCGAATGCGAGCGCCAGCGTGTTACCGACACCCCCTTGGGAGCATCTGTCAAAGGCACGTCAGCGTTCCAAGTTTGAGAAACACGTAAAGTAGAGGAGCATAGAAGGTATCTCGGAGTCAACTCCACTTACCCTGTAATGAGGACTGTTCGCTTGTTGGGTGATGGCATGATTGTAGGTCAGAACTCCAAAGTGGTTGTGAATGATGAGAACCTGGAATGATTAAACAAGCTGGGTATGTTGAATGGGTTGTCCAACTACGTGACCTCGACGTGGAAATCCCACAGGACTTAAGTAACTACATGACAACTGTGATTTGGAATAAAATGGCCCCCGATTGCTGCCGATATATCTTAGCCGGTATCCAAATGGCGAAACTCGGTCAAAACTCTAGCCATGATGACATATGTCAAGCTGTGTGCGTCGAATTCGATGAACATTGGTAAGCTCGTAGAGAAACGCACTTTAAAAGATTAGTGCGAGTGGTGGGTGCATTCGGAGCCTTCAAATGCTCCATTTCCCGCCGTCTTGAAAAGCTCTCGGGCAAGTCAAAACCTCTCCGCGTCTTTATCCGGAAGGAGGGGCCGGACATGGCCTTGGGATGACAAAGAGTGGCTTCTAGCACGTACAAGCTTTCGTCCCGTTTTACCACCTTGTCTACCAAGTGGGTGACAAAATAAGATGCTGGTTAACACTAAACTATGAAGCCTACTTACCTGCTTATTGTTCCTGAATTATTTTTATTATTTTTTTATTATTATTCAAGTTTCTGTCATCTTCATTACCTCTATTGTTTTTATTTCCTATACATTCATTAGAGAGTACTATTAAGAACAATAGGAATAAGAATGATAATAAACGAGCCGGGTACTAGGGCACCCATAGAGCGGCAAACGATTATGTCACCCATTTGTCTACCCATCGATCGCGTGTGGTGAGTAAACCATAATCGTCCCGGGAGCTGTTTAATAATCGCCTCCGAGAAAGTGGAGACTCTCCGGCGCCGATTTGAATCCAGCCGTAGCCCGTCAAATGTGGGGCTTTAGTCCCATCCGCAACTCGTTGGTTGACCGTCCGTCTGCTGTCCGCAACTCCGCAACAGCGGCAAGACGAATAGGCCCACTTGCGGTTCTTAATTGCGCATCATGGCGAATGGAACGTGCTTAATAATGTCCAATTTTGGGTTTCAGCATGAGAGAAAGCATGCGGAGAGAGTAGCATAAATGACAATCGGAGGACCATGTCCTCGTAAACATTCCGATATCATTCTTCATCACCACCAAATTGCAATCAATCTTTCCAGGAAATACACGGAACCATTACGCGTACACAAAAATGTCTTCCAACCACGCCATCGTCATCCAGGGTGCAGGCAAGGCCCAAGTCGTCGAAGCTTCCGTCCCCCAGCTCCGCGATGACTACCTCATCGTCAAGGTCAAGGCCGTCGCGCTGAACCCGACCGACATCCTCCACATCGACCTCTTTGCCGTCACAGGAGCCCGCGTGGGCTGCGACTACGCCGGCGTCGTCGAGGAGGTCGGCGCCAAGGTCGCAAAGTCCTTCAAGAAGGGGGACCGCATCGCCGGCGTCGCGCACGGGTCCAACGCCGTGCACCACGAGGACGGCACGTTCGCCGAGTACATCACCGTCAAGGGCGACCTGCAGCTCCGCATCCCGGACAACGTCACGTTCGAGGAGGCAGCCACCCTCGGCGTCAGCGTGACGACCGTCGGCCAGGGCTTGTACCAGAGTCTCGGCCTGCCGTACTTCGACAAGCCCAGCACCGAGAAGCTGCCCGTCCTCGTCTACGGCGGGAGCACGGCAACCGGAGCGCTGGCGATCCAGTACGCCAAGCTGTCTGGCCTGCACGTCATCACGACGGCCTCGCCCCACAACTTTGCGTACCTGAAGAAGCTGGGCGCCGACGAAATCTTGGATTATAAGTCTGCCACCGTCGTGGAGGACATCAAGAAGAGCGCGGGCGGCCAGTTGAAGCACGTGCTGGACTGCATTTCCTCCGAGTCGTCTGCGGATATCAGCGTCAAGGCGATTGCGGAAGACGGCGGCGTCTACTCCACCCTGCGGCCCGTGCCGGCGGAGCTCGTCTCGGCGATCAACGGCAAGGTGACGACCAAGATGACGCTGGCGTACACTGCCATCGGTGAGCCGTGTCAATTCGGTCCGCAGGCTTTGCCGGCGATCCCGGCGGATTTGGAGTTTGGAAGCAAGTTCTGGGCTGATACCGAGCGACTGTTGGGAGAGGGCAAGATTGTGGCTCACAAACCGACTGTGAACGAGGGAGGAGGTGGTTTCGAAGGCGTTCTCAAGGGTCTCGATCTAGTTAGACAGGGCAAGGTGAGCGGAACCAAGTTGGTTTATGTCGTTTCGTAATAGTTCAAAGATCCAAATAGCGATGTGGTCTTGCGACAATTATCAGCAACAATCAAAACACTTGAATGCGAAAGATGTGTCCCGAGAGGTCCGTGAATATGCACAACCCATAGGGCTAAAATGCTGTCATGGTTTTCACATCTTCAAATTTATCTATTCTCCCTGAGAATCTTGCAATCTGCTTTCAGCGATCATAGGAGAAACGGCAGCTGGAAACTTTGCTTGGTCGATGGGGTCGGAGACCAGGATGCCGGAGCCGAATGCTACAGGGATGTAGTCTCCCGAACCCGAGCGCCACTTGCCCGATTCGTCCGCCGACGAGAGCCCATTGGCAGCCAAGGTTGCATAACTGCAGATGTTTTGCAGGTCAGCGGCGGGAGGAAGATGATGTGGCGCATGCCAGCAGTCATGTACTTGAAGTGCGCAGTTTCGCTAGCAGCACCATTACCTCTTGCGATATGTGGTACGTGTTCATTGATCTGAAGTCTTGTAGAGGTCTATAATGAGAAAAGCCACGGCGTTGACTTCTGCAAACCGAGAGTAGTGCTCCTGGATCCCAAGTGACCTTACACTCTCTAGGCAAGTTCCCAGTGTAAGAATTATGAGCAACTAGTTACGTTGAAGGCAAATTGTATGTCTAGCAAAACAAGTGTTATCCTCCATCGGCTACACTTTCTTTGGAGACACTTTGATTCTGTACTCCCATACTTATGCCACGTTACTACCCACTTGGTAGAGCCAAACATCGATAGACCTACTTACAATAAGATCGAGTAAAGAACCTCGGCCCCTAACTGCTAGAATGGGGCACAAGGAGGCCTCTACTTTTACATTACAACTCAGTTGCCGATTTCTGACCGATGTCTGCCGAAGCCATGCACGGCAAGTCTGAGGGAAATTGAGCCTCCCCTTGAAGAATCGATTGATTGATAAGACAACCTAACATGACTTTAACGTCATGCAACTAACCCGATAGCCTACAGGATAGCCTATGGGAGGAGGAGGGGAACGGGATCATCCACCCCAGTACAGCAACGTTCGCATCTCCCCCGCAGCCACGCAGCCACGTTTTACTAAAACTTTTTCTTCATCGGAGGCTTAGGGAGGAACGCACATGGAAGAGAAAGGGTTAGAAAATCCTTCACCACCATTGGATACCACCCCCCAGGAAAGAAGAACCTTTCTCATGCGGTGTTTAATGGCAATTGACTCCGTTAGATAGGTCCGATCAGTCTTGCATCAGAGAAGTTAAGTTACGGGAGCTATCCGAGAGTAGCCCTCTGGTGGGGCTGGTCCGATCGAATGGCAACCCGCTCAGAAACCCAGGATGTCACCCCAAACGGGGAAGAACTTCTCAACTTCTCCAAGAAAAGCTCTTTTACATCCGCGATGTTCCACTCCGCCAAGACTCTGAACCGCTGCTTATGGCGGAAAGCGGCAATTGAGCGGGAAGGAATACGTCGTAATCGTCAAGGAAGCCAATAGATTTCTCTCCTGAGAAGAAGACTCAGACTTCTCGATATCCCAGAAAAGAGTACCTCGCAGTGCCGATGTCCAGGACCCTGGTTAATTGCTGTGAAAGCTCCTCCCCTTCCTGGGTCCTTCTCGGACTTCACCCATATGCGAGGAGGGGTGGCGATGGCAAAGTCGAGCCATCTTCGAGAAAGACAAATACCAGACGAAAGGATACAGATGCATTTGGGTCTCTCTTCTCTCTTTCCCACCACCATCTCTTTCTCATTCGTTTCCAAAGCGGTGTGTCTAGCCACCCAAGCCTCTCAAGATGCGGTCGTCACTCCTTTCTTCCCTCCTCTGCCTCTGCCTGGCCACCTCGTCGACCTCGGCCCGCCACGTTCACCAGCTCCGCGCCGATTTCAACCTCGCTTCCCTCCCGCAGGCCCACTCGGCCCGCGGCCTCCCCGCCGCAGACGGCAAAAAGGGCGTCCTCCTCATGAACCGCATCGGGCCCTCAACCTCGGAGCTCTACATCGCCAACGCGGACGGCACAAACGAGCAGAAGCTCCTCGGCAACGCCTCGAGCTTCGAGTACCACGCCGCCTTCTCCCCGGACGGCAAATACGTCACCTTCACCACCGAGCGCAACGGCGACGGCAACTCCGACCTCTACCGGTGCAGCTTCTCTGCTGGCACCACGAGCGGTAGCAACACCACCTCCGCCTCAGCGTCGTGCTCCAATGTGGAAGAGCTCATCGCCACGCCCTCCGTCGAAGACGCGGGCGCCCTCTCCCCAGACGGGACCAAAGTCGCCTACGTCTCTACCGAGAACGGCTACCGCGCCAACATCTGGGTCCTAGACATCGCCACCGGCGCGCGCCGCAACCTCACAAACACCCACGAGATCGCCGGCGACCCCTTGCTGCCCGACGGCCACTTCAGACCCAGCTGGTCCCCGGACGGCGAGTGGATCGCCTTCGCCTCGGACCGCAACACGGCCTGGCGGGGCCACGGCAACGGTACCGGCTGGGAACACACCCAGGAGCTCTCTGTCTACGTCGTCCGGCCGGACGGCTCTGGGTTCCGCCAGGTCGCCACCAAGACGGGATACTGTCTCGGCTCGCCGAAATGGAGCCCGGACGGGAAGCGCATCCTCTACTACGAGATCACCACCGAGCAGACGTGGGACGCGCACCGGCCCGAGTCCCTCGCCGCTGCCGTCTCCCAGATCGTCTCGGTCGACTTCGAAACGGGAGAAGATCGCATCGAGCATACCTCGGGCGCCAGCGTCAAGATGTTCCCGCAATGGTTGGCTGATGATGACAGCACCTCAGACGGGTCCAGCAGCAGCAACAACATCGCCTACCTGATCAAGGGCGGCGACAACGAAGGATACAACTACACCTCAGGCGCCCACCCGCCCGTCAAAGCAGCGATTCGCTCGCCAGCCTGGTCCCCAGACGGCCGCTTCGTCATCTACGAAAAAGTAGGCTTCACCGCCCGCGCCATGGAGAAGCCCCTCTACAGCTGGGATGCGGACTGGGAATACCGCTCCACCGACGTCTTCCCCCAGCTCTCCCTACAAGGCCGCCTCGTCATCACCCAAAAGCAGCTCGGCAACTCCTCCATCGTCTCCATGAACCCGGACGGCACCGACCTCAAGCTCGTCTTCGACTCCTCCAAAACGGGCGAGATCGACGCCGCCCTCGTCGCAAAGGGTCTCGCTGGCGCCTTCCAACCAGCCTGGTCCAGCGACGGCCAGTGGATCGCCTTCGGCCTCGGCTCCTGGTTCCAGTCCCGCGCGACGGGCAAAGCCCGCGTCTACCGCACGACCTCCAACGGCAGCTTCTACGAGGCGCTGACGGACGGCTCCGTCCACTCCGGGTTTCCCTCGTACAGCCCAGATGGCCGCAGCCTCGTCTTCCGCGAGTGGGGTGTCCGCTACGGCCTCCGCGTCATCGACCTCGAGACCAAGACGGTGCGAAGCCTGACCAACGCGACGGACAACCTGCCCTTCTGGTCGCCCGACGGCGAGCGCATCGTCTTCACGCGCAAGACGTCGGCGACGAATTTCGACGTGTGCACCATCCGGCCCGACGGCTCGGACTTGCAGACGCTCACGTCCAGCGGCGCAAACGACGCGCACGCCGTGTGGTCGCACGACGGGCGGATCTTGTATTCCAGCGGTATGTACGGGTTCCGGGACGAGGCGGCCATCTATGATCAGACGTTCCAGCCGTACGGGCAGATCATCGTCATGGACGCCGACGGGTCGAATAAGCGGATGCTTACGGATAGTTTATGGGAGGATTCTATGCCGTTGTATGTGCCCAACGAGTTTCTCGTCTAGAGGTGCATTTATTGGTAGCTTGAAAGTATGGTCGCTGTAGAATTAATTACAATACAAACCCAAAACTCTTTGTGCTAGTACTTCTTCCTGTGGATGTTTTGACTTCTTCAAAGGTGATCAAGTTGAATTGAAATCGAAAACCCACAAAAGGGGCTATCCAGTGAAAAGAAGTAGGGAAGCATGGCTTTGACTCTGTTAAACTATTATTTTAGTTGTCTGGGCCATTCATTCAGCTTATCAGATTATGAATCCACGATGCTCGTGATAACTCACATGTTCTGCTTAATATAGCAGACATAGTTTTCCCATAATATATCTAGAGCAAGCCGTGAGATATTTTTCCCGAGGCGGCGGAACCATCCTCAATTTCTCCAGACCATAATGCATCTTGAAAAGCCTCTCGAGAACATGTAGCCACGATCAACCCAAGAGTAAGACCATGCTCATTAGCAACATCAGGTCTTCCATTTGACCAGACCTTTACCCAGGCTTTCATAGTGATGATTTGGGAGCAGTTGTATCGCGAGGGTGCAAAGGGTTGAAGTCGATATAGGTAGGTGCCTTTATACTGTGAAGAGACCTCGGCGTACACAAATCACGACAATGCACCTAGTGATCACACGATCGTCAACACCACGATGGGACGAAACAATCAAGAGTTCCATTCTTTGAGAGCTAGACCTAGCCGCCCAATCCCGGGAAACCCAGATCCCGCCGTTCACCAAAAATTTTTTTGGAGTGAGGTAATTTCTCTTTTTGCCTTTTTTTCTTTGATTTTAGTTTCAATTCCTCTGCCCTTCCTCATGTCTCAGAAGACATGGTGCTCTGAAGCCGATCATATTGGTAAGCAATATCAGCGAGCCAAGCATCACCAAAGTTCCTCATTTCTAACTGCGCGTCCTGTCCTCCGCGAGAGTTGCCAAACAGCCAAGCTCATGCTGACTCTTCCAGTTCGCAAACACAAAATCCATGTGTCGTGTGTATTCAGTGTTGATGTAACACGAATATCCATAATCTTTTCGTCGTCTTCGTCAACCCCAAAACTAATTAAACAGGTGTTGGTGTGAAGCGCGCAAAAAGGGGCGCGTAGTGTGATGGCTGACGAGGTGAAGCTCGCCCAGCGCTAGATGATGTAATCCTCCACGGCGTGTTGAAGTGGGGAAATGCAGATGTGTGAACAAAAAGCAAAAGGGGGTATGTGCAAAATGTGGTATACGCATGAATGGGAGAGAATCGAAGTGTGTGTTTGCGGGGAGGTGGTGTTGTCAGGCCAGCCCATTCCAACCTGTCGTCGGCGCCACCGCGCGTTGCCTTGGTCTCAACCAGACCGATGCTTGGGGAAAGCCGAACAAAGATTGTTGTAAGGACTAAGATTCTTCGAACCAGGTGCCAAGATGAGACCAAACAGGCAGAGGTGGGGAGACGCGACGACAGTCCCCAAGATAGCCAGCCGGCCCAAGTAGTAGTGTGTCGAAAAGTGTTGTTGACCAAATATGTCGTGGTATCCTCCAGTAGAGCCATGATCGTAATGCAAAGTGGTGCCCAAGGCCACAATGATTGCCCTTCGCGCGAGGGCGTTATTTGCCGTTCCAATGCCAGGAACGCCGAACCCATGTAGTGTAGAACCGCCGTGCCATGACAAATGCCAGAGAGTGGTGATACGTGATCCAGAGCGCGCCGGCTCGGTCAGTGAAGTCATGACACGGTATCCGTGGTTCAGCCAACCCAGCCAACCAGTCCGAATCCAATGAAAAATAGGAGACATGCTTTCTCATCGGTCAAACAGACCGATCGCACAGCGTAGTCCTTCCATCCCCCAACGCCGTGCTATGCAAAAAAAAAAAAAGGTTTTATACAGAACCCAGACGCAACAGAGCCTCAACCGCCTCACGCTCCTGCGCGTCAGACGGGCTCTGGAGCGCCGTGAAGTCAAAGGGCATGGGCTGGAGCGAGCGTGCCATGCCAGTAGAGACGGTTCGGATTCCTCCCGAGTTATATACACCGGTGGAGAGGAAGCTGCGTCCGGCAGACTGTGCGGTTGCGCCGGCTGTGTTGTAAGACTCGGCGCGCAGAGCGGCAGCTCCAACGGCTGCCCAGTCCTCGTCATCGGTGGCGTCCTCGGGATCATCATTCATAGCGATATCGTCGTCGTCCGGAGCCTCGGAGCACGAGGCGGAGGCCGAGCCATCCAGGGACATCTTATCCGCTTCGCATTCCATCATCATGGCATCGCGATCGTCGTGAGAGAAGACAATGGAGTCGCCAGCGCTGGACGAGGCGACGTTAAGGCGAGACCTGTCGGCGCCGCGTCCACCGGTCTTGCTGATGGGAATGCCAGATCGGTAGTCAGTGGGGGGTGTAGACCCGCGCGCGGCCTGACCACGTCGACGAGCATCCCATCGACCCCAGCCCACCTTTTCGAATTCCACATCGCCATCCGGTCCGCCACCCTCGCCTCCACGACCCTCCAAGGCGCCAACGACCAGGCGGCGCGCCTTTGTCGGCGGGATTCCTGCGAAACCCGGGACAGACGTTGTCAGGTAGCCCATGATGTGACGGATAGCCAGAGGGCCGTGGTTGAGGAGGATCTCGGGGAGGTGGTGCTTGGCCAGCAGGGTGGTGCTGATAGCACCGGTGGCGTCGTAGGAGGGTGACCGCGATGCTTGCCTGCGACCAGTCGGGTCGTCATGCAGATCGAGGTCCGAGTCGATGGGCTCGAGCCTGGCCTTCTGAAGCTGGGCCTTGAGGCCGTGAGGCGGAAGGGCGGGAGAGATGGAGTTGGGGGGAGTAGGGAGGGGGTGAGATCGTGTCACAGTCGTCGCAGGAACACTCCGAGCCGCTACAACAGTCAAGTTGTCTCGGCTCATGTTGGAGGCCTGGTGGATATCGCAAGCAGCAGCTGCCATGGTCGCCATGATGTCGTTTAGACGTGTCTTGTGCTTCTAGACGTGTCTGTACGCGATAGCGATGGTTAGCTACAGGTGCCAGGTAGAGTGTTGGTGACAAGAGTGGTAGAGTATGTGGGAGGAGGGATCCCACGATGAGAAGTGGTGATGTTGAGTCACCAATGTAGGAGAGGGAGGAGGAGGATGTGACGCAGTGCTGTGGTGTGCTGTGGTGTGCTGTGCGGTAAGATAGGGTTTACTGTTGACGTACTGCTAGAAGCGGAAGGGATGCGATGCAAGTGTGGAACTGTGCAGGTAGACTCAGTTCGACGGGTCGGCTAATAGACTTGTTGGCAGATCAGGCTGGCGTTGCTGTGGCTGTTGCGATTATCGTGACTGTGACAAGAGAATCTCGTCAGTATTGGGTTGTGGTTCTTCGTGATGCTGTATTTGCGTTGAAGAAGAGAGGAGAGGAAAGGGAAAGGGAGGGTGAGATGAGTGCGACGGCCAGGGCTAAAGTAAAAGGGACCGTGGTGGTGGACGGATACGGAGATGGGATGGGATGGGATGGATGGGAGTGACAGACAGACTCATACCTGACTGTTGAATGACTGTGAGCGACACACACACACACACACCATACTGCGTACCTACACCACACACCAGACATACGCGGTACCTCCATCTTTTGGTGTCGGCTCTCTCTCACCTTGTTCCTCTTTGCTGGGCTGGAAGTGTGTGTAGGAGAAAGGGAGGTACATGGGGTACATTGCAAGACCTGGGGCATGTCAAGAGACGGCGACCGGGGGGCAGGAAGTACCCACGGTACCGGACGGATGCAACCCAGGATCCAAGGTATCCGCAGTCAAGTGCGGTACACCCATGTACCTCGCTCTCTCTACTGCTTCCTCGGTATCTACTCCGTACCTCTCATGCTGGTGACTCCTCCACGCTTTCTGTGGCGGGCCAGTCTCTTTCGGTACAAGGCAAAGGGCCTCAGAGAACCAGTCCAATGGGAGAGGAGAAGGAGAATGAATGACTGATACCTAGACAGACAGGGAAAGAAATACGTCAACTGTACTCCGTATCGCCATGTTGATGCAGTGCAGCTTGGCTTTGGGCCCAAGCCCGGGTGCTTTCTCCAACAACACGCAGCCAACCTGACGCCCGTACCAAACTCAACCGCCTGCAGCAGACAAAGGCCCACGGCGGCGAAAGGAAGGGAAGGCGATGGATGGATGGCCGGATCATGGATGGATGAGCACCTGGCACCCTCCAGTCTCAAGCACCTGAGAGCAAGACCAAGGCAAAAAGGCGAGACAAGGCCCGACAACGCAACAACGACTACAGCGACAACAGGAAAGGAGCAAAGAGACGGACGCCGCTGGCTGGCGTTGGCGCAGGTGATGGACGGACCATTGGGCGATGAGCAAGGACAACACCACTTGAATACACACCCAGGGGGTGGCAAGTTGCGGCCACGGGTGTCGAGTGTTGGTCACCAGGTGTTGACTGACGGCCTCTGAGTGTGGATGGTGTGTGTGTGTGTGTCTGGAGGACGAGGTATGTGTGGCTGGGTTGCTGATACCAAAAAAAGGAGTTCCCGGCTGGGAGAGGAGATGGGAAAACGGCAAAGAAGAGAAAGAGAGAGGGGGTGTCGCTATTCTCCTACTTCCTGTCACACTCCCACCTTCACCTTGTCGCAGTCCGCAGAGGGCGAAGAGTACTTCTCTGAGGTCGTCTTGTACACAGTGTGTATGCACACTACGTACACCTCGTACACCTCGTACCTACCTCATGCCTTCAGAGCTGTGCTTCCGTCTCTTCCCTTCCTTCCCATTGATTCCAGTTCCCCTGGGTTTGGGGAGGAGTCATCGCTCTTGCTGATGACAGGCCTATCTTACAGACACCTGCCTCGTCCGCCTTGACCTTATCACCAAAGAGTTCCTTATCAACCTTTGATCTGATATTCTTTCATGATCCTGCCTGCCACCTGGACGATCTGACCTTATAGTCCAGCGCTGGGTAAGGGGAGCGAATTTCAACTTCCCTGGTGGTCCTACCTAGACTCTGTGACCTTTTGATCCAACTGATTGCTTTTCCTTTGATCAAAGT